AGAGAGGGAGAGAGAGAGAGCGAGAGCGAGCGAGAGAGAGAGAGACACAGACAGAGGCAGAGACAGAGACGGAGAGAGAAAGAAAGAGGGAGATGGAGATGGAGAAGGAGATGGAGATGGGGATGGGGGTGGGGATGGGAGATGGAGATGGAGATGGAGATGGAGATGGAGATGGAGATGGAGATGGGAGATGGAGATGGAGAGTGGCGAGGCCCAACAGAGCAGGACGTGTTGCTTGCAAAGCACCCAAGAAGAGTTCACATGCCAGAATCTGTCTGCATGTCTCTGTCTAGCTGGCAAGCGTCGTGAATGGTCAAGCCACCAAACGCGAAATATCAGAAATGACAGGCTTCAGTATGTTGAGCCCATCTGTCTTGTCTGGAAGTCCGGCAGGGTTCACATGACATGACCAGCCTTGGCTGGAAGGTCGGTGAATTCGAACTCAAACCTGACAGCAGAATTTGCGTGAGTTGCAAGCCCAAGCTCTGCATTGTGGCTGTTGTTCCCGGCTTGATAACAGTACTTGTAATTTGCGCCACTGAGTCTTTGACTCATCTCGGCTGAGACCAATGTTGAGAGGCGCCTTGGATTTCACAGGGCCGGCTGTCAAGAGCTGTCAAGCGCTGACGAGCTGCTGGCAGCTTCGCCGTGCACTGAGGCAGTGGCAAAAGTACATCGCAAAGCAAAAGCGAAGAAGCACATGGCTGCTTCGGGGCCTGCAGCTCGAAATAAACTGCGTGCCGGGACGACTGCAAAGGTTCTCCTTGAAAATAACTAGCCATCACACTTCGAGCATAGAAAGATCAGGTCCCAGCCATTGGGTATGGCTGTACACAGTCTGTCCTGGAACTCGTGAGCTCATGCACACGGGTGGCAAACTAATCCACGTAGGCTTTGGCCTCGCGACCAAGCCCTAGAACTTCGACCTCCGGTGAGCTTGAGCTCGAGCTGACCCGAGATGACCTACGAGCCCAAAGGACCTGATCGCTGGTGACGAACTCCTTGAGCTCCTTTAAGCCTCCACCGCTCGCTGTGTCACCAGAAATCTGGCAAGCTGCCGAGGATCCGACTCAGCGGTCTCCTTCCATCTGTCGCATGGAGGAAAGGCGCATCGGAGCTGGGGATCAGATCGTAAAAACTTGCCCACTCCTGGACATGTGCACAAGGAAAGCCGTCAAATTCCAGCGACAGTGCGTGCCAGCCTGCTTAAGCGCATCGTCTGCGAAGAGCTGTCTCTTGGGATCGTAGTCACTACTGGCCGCACCTTAAGTCCAGGCAAAAGCCACAAAGCAGACAAGCACAAAAGCACAATGAATTCAGACGGTCGCCCCAGGTCGGCACGAACGATCCCTATTTCGTGGGTCCCACTGTGAGCATCTGTGGAGCCTTCCATGACCTCCAATATCTGGCCAGAGTGCACGCAGCATGCTTCGAGGAAAAACATTAATGCTTTCAAGCCTTTCGCCACGCCGGCTGAGAGCATCAAATGTCTTCTGATCCGAAATGTTCGATGGAGATCGTTTAAGTGAATGTGCCAAAGACGTACAGAGACATGCACGAGAAGATCTTCTCAAGATGAAGCGGGCTTCAGCCAAGCAATCTGCAGTGGCTTCACCTCTTTATTTATCCGACAACAGCTGCCTCCAACACCTTATTGTAAATCCGTGAACCCCGGTTTCTCCTTAACAATCAGCACCGACGTTAGATTTCACGTCAATGCTGGACACCTAATTTCTACGGTCCCTGCACTGGATCTCAGCATTTTGCCTGACCAGTGCTGATGGCACCAAAATACAGGCTGAGTGCGAGCTGCACTTCTACAGGTGAGGCCAGGACTCTTTTCCTGCAGTCCATCCTGCAAGCCGCAAGCTGCGCAAGGCGACCGGAGCAAAAATGGAAAGCATGGCTTAAAACCGAAGAGGGGCTAGCAACCGGGATTGCCTGAGACGCCAAGCCGAAGTCAGAAACGGCACCAGGATGATCATCGCAATTGAAACAGACCTCACTGCCAACACATGCCATCGTCTCCAGCTTTCACGAGCGCCGTCTCCCAGTCTCGCCAGGCTTCCGCACTGCATCATTGAATTCCCACCAAGACCTGCATGGACATATCGTGCTTGAGCAGTACAACTCATCCGACACCAGCACAGAGGATTCCCACATCTGAAATCAAGTCCACAAAATCTGCTGAAACCGCACGAAGCACGAAGCTGAAAACAAGATATAGTACCCATGACCCTTGCATCCCATCGAAATTCAAAGTCAAACAGAAAGCTATCTGGTTTTCTGTTATCTCCATTGGAAACTGAGTCTCGGCTCCTGCGCTACATCGTTTGCTTTCAATGCTGGTTCCCCTGCGTAGCCGAAAGGTTATTGAACCTAGATTGCTCCACCTGTCTTTCCTGGGCCTCTGTGTGTGTGGCGTACAAACGACTGCTACATCCAAGCGGTTCAAAGACAGTCCTGACCATGGTTACACTTCGCAAGTGTTTGAGCATGGCAACCTGCTGGTTTGATCATGCTCGGCATGGGACCGAGTATCCCTTTAAGTATAAGGCCACACGTCCTTGCAAGATCTCATATTATGTTGCGTTGTTGGACCAAAGTTTGGGAAGAATGGAATTTGCAAAAGGCTGAGCTATAGACAGCACATGCGAGTTTAGGATAGTTTCGGCATGATTCTTGCCAACGTCTCAGTCTCGAGTAGCAATTAGAAACACTGTGCAGTGTGAGTCTCCCTCTAGAGCTGGGTCTCTCTCTGAAGCAGCCCACGATTTGTTGGTCGTTGGTGTGTTTGCGGAAACCCTCCTTTCTCAATCTTGTGGAGCCGCACGGGCACGAAGAGAGTGCCATCTTTGTCTGCAGGACATGCTACTTGTGACCTCCGTGTCTTTTGATTCGGGATCAGCAGTTGTGGTTTGCACGCCCTTTGCTGCGGACTTTATAACTTGCTTCCCCAGTGTGTTGCAAGGTCATGCTGTCTTTTTCCACCCTCATTGAAGCCGAGGCGGTCGAAACACGCAATTTTGCGATGTGGTCCCAGTTGCAACCCTTGGCTGCAGGTTGACTCATCAAGTTGCTCTCTGTCCTGGCGGTTGAACAGTTCAACCCTTTGGCACCCGAGCGTCACTTTCGGCGGTCGGGTGTGATAGTGTCAGATGCACGCATTCCGCACTTGTAACAAATTGTGGTTGATTTGCTATGATTTGCTCGCCCAGGTCCGAAGCACAAGTTCACACGTGTTCATGAATGGTTGGGCAGAGTGAGCTGTGTATCCAATGTCCAAGTCTCCCAAGCTTCATCTTATTGGGGGCAAGCAAACCATTTGGCAATGATTGGTGAACGCACGCTAGCCACTAAAGAAGCACAGCGTGTGCAGTGCCCTACCTGGCCCTACCTTTTCCGCTTGCCAAGTGGCGTGCTTTCGCGAGAGAGGAAATCCCGCCCTACGGACAGCACATGCAAAGCTCACGTCTATACATGTTGCATTACCTCGGAAGTTGCATTGCACCGGTAATACTCCTGAGCTTTCGTACAGCTGCCCAACGGGGTCTGCGAGGTCCTCCTCCTCCGCCCAGAGAAACAATTTTCCACGGCGAAATCATGAACCAAGCGAATGAAAGCGACGCTTCCACCTCAATGCGACGCTCGTGCTCACGCTTTGTGAGCTTGCGAACCGCAGTACACTCAGGATCGCAAACTAATTAACCTCCACATTTGGTGCTCACTCATCAGCTGCAAGAGGATCTTGCGAGCCTTGGTGCCGGCGACCCATCGCAAGTGAGTGCCACGTGCAATGGCCTGCTTGACCTAGATAGTGAGTGTCAAGCCATGTATTGCGATGTATTGCGCCGGTGTTGCGAGTCATCGCATGCCATCCATCACCAACACGCCCGTCGTGTTCTCCTTCACAGTCTGTTCAATGCGGCCACGGACAAGTGGAAGGCCGTGAATCTCAGCCCGAACGCTTCTCACCAGGTAGGTCATGTCCTCACCCATGGTGATAGCTTGAACTGCCATTGGAGCCCAGCACCTCACGAGGGGCCTCTTGGCTCCTCCACGCCACGATGTGAACCCAGTCTCTGACCTTGGGGGCCATGCAGGTCAGCAGTCCAACTGTGCTGCCACGGTTCACACGGTTGTACTGCCAAGTCTTTCCAGCCCAAGCCAAAAAGGTAAAAGATCAAGACCTGATCCGCCGTCCTCTTGGCGTCCCGGACGAGCTTGTTGATCCTCATGATGAGGTCCACAGTCGGGGTGGGCACGTCACTCAGCATGAGGCCGATCTCCGCAAGAAGTTGAAGGCTGACTTGGTTGGCCCTCCAGGCCAAGGTTCCAAGAGCGCCTCTGATGGCGCTGATCTCAGCATTGGTAACCTATTCTCCTTAGGCCTGGAAGCCTATTGAGTACTCAGAGGAATTTCCTCCATCCACTTCTCAGTGTACACCTGCTGATCCAAGAAGACGGCGCCATCGGGCTTGTGCAAAACGTTGCAACCTGCAAACTCAAAAGAAGGCTCATCCCATTTGCCCCATTCAAAGGCATTGCGAAGCTTTTCTTTGGCCTCCATGAAGACTTGGTTTTGACGATCACCCCCAAGGATGAAATCATCCACGTGGCATCCAGCAATGGCCACTAGACGACCAGTCGTTGGGTCCGACAGGATGAAGAGACACTTATCAAACTCCGTCCATTCAGCAGATTTGAGGGCTTCGGCAACGGTAGGAACGAACCACTGTCGAGGAGCATGACAAAGTCCATAGAAAGCACGGTGAAGTTTGAGCACCGTGAGGTCTTCCTGGCCACTTCCACCCTAGGCAGCTCCAAGCTTGGATGTAGAGCTCTTCACCCTCCAGGTCTTGGATGGTCTGAAGGAACGCACTGGCAACGTCGGCAGACTCGAGGACACATCTGTTGTTGGCCACAGTCGTCAGCCAACAGCATCTTGCCCAGCTTCGATAAAATGGAGAGGAAGCTTGGGTCTCCACCAATTTTGGGGTCTGGAAGCCCAGGACCACGAGGCGGGCCTTGGCCGGTCCAGCACTCTTGTACCTGAGTACCCATCGCATCTTCATGACGCGCTTCCAATCAAGCTTCTCTTTATCATGGGTAAGGAGGCTGCGAGCCGCAGCATTTCGAATGACATTGCTGATCTCCTTGGTCTGTGTCTCGTCGTCAGAGTTCGCCAGTGCACCTCTTTGCCTTTCTCGAGTAGCTTCTTCGACATCCAGGCGGTCGACTGGTGTGGTTTGCCAATCAACTGCTTCCAGTCGATGCCGGTCATCTCCGTTTCGAAAACGTATCCCGAGGATTCATCCATTGCCTCAGGAACAGTCACCTCAGTCCTCTTGTCGTATACGAACTTGTTTCCACCAGCATCACAATGAGGTAACCGATGACCTCCAGGAAGAACACAGCCAGGAGTGGAGCACGAAGGGCCTGCAGAAACACTGCTACTTGACGGCATAGGGCACCTTGGTGTACCTGGAAAAGGTGTGCCAGGAGCTGGAGTCCCAGGGACCAGACGACCAAGGATTTCTCTTTCATCAACAGGACCAGAGGATTCGCCTTGATCTCGATGTTCAGCTCAGGTCTCTTGGCCCGGTGGCCTTTCAACTGATCCTGGAGTGGCTGTCGGGACGCTTGGTAGCGCATCACGTTGTGCTCTACTTAAAGGTTCATGGGACTTAGTAACTAGGGTTATTTGTAAGGTAACTATACTTATAATTACTTATAACTTATAACCCAATTAAGGTACTTATAACTTATAACTGTACTTACTAAGTCCCATGAACCTCCAAGTAGCTCTAGCTCTTGTCTTAGGACCAGAGGATTCCGCTTGATCTCGAGGTTCAGCTGAAGTCTCTTGGCTCGGCACCGCACTGGACTTCACGGCCTGCGCTGCAGGGTGACCTTCCACCAAAAGAAAGAGTGTCTCCCCTGTCCACCGATCAGGAAGACACCGTGCAGGGCTTCGGTGGTTATAGCCATTGTCGATCACTTGTTCGTTTCCCCCGCTGCGAGCTACAGTACGTCGCTGGCCTCGTAGATCTTTCTCCTCATGTGGATGCTCTCCATCTTACCAGTCGCCCTGGAACTCCCAGCAATGCCGATAATGACATTGACTTTTTTGATTAATGTGCAAGGAGAATAACGTTTTTTCAAGCTTCAGCTAAACAAAACAACACAGTGCCATAGATGCAACAGTATCAACACCAGATGTTTTAGATGATTTTACTGGTGATCCATTACCTGATGAATTATTTGAAAAAACAAATACAATTAATTAATCCTCCATCACTAAAACAACCACAATTATTACAAAATAATAACATAGACACAAACATCATCATCTTTCCGTCCACGAGCTGGAACATGAACTTCCTGTTGGGC